TTTTGTTAAAATTCTACAATAAACTGCTCTACATAATTAATGGATAGCTAACTTAATTACGAATTTCCATTTCCATTTGAAATTTTTGATTAATTTGTATAATCGACTGCTCCGCCTGAACATTAACTCACGATGACTTGACAAAAGCTGCTCGCAACTGTTTGCTTTTTGTTTATTGTGCACTGTGCACAAAAAGTATTAAGTTTCATTAATTGCCAAAATTAAACAAACAAAAAAGAAACAAGCAAGAGCCGCAACAACAAATGAAAGAATACCATAAAATAAAAGGTATTTTGTGAAAAATTAAAAATTCATACGGCAGCGATGCGGTCGCATAAATTTCACGAAGAGAAGCAGCTGAAGCGGGAGCTGGGCCAAGGGTTGGGTTCAGGAGGAGACAGGCGCAGACGTGGGCGAGATCTGAGCTGCGCATTGTCGCTATATAAATAAGACGAAACTGGACCGCAGCGAGGTGCGAGGCGGCATTGTCAACAGCTGATGACAAACTTTTCGGGGGTGCTGATTGCCTCACAGCAGCGACGGCGACAGCGACAGCGGCAGCGACGGCGGCAGCGACGGCGGCAGCGACAGCGACAGCGCTGCCAGGTTTCATTCAAGGTGTCGGCCAAATTTGTGATGCGCTGGCTCCTAAAAAGCGTGATTTATTTCACATGGCTAAGCTGCGACATCCATCTGCATAAATTTGAATTATGTACGAGCGTGTTAGCTTTTGACCAGACCAGACCAGACTTCCAATATGGCTGCGTTGTCTGTTGTTCATGTTGAACAGTTAGCTGCCGTTATAGCGACACGATCCATCAATGAATTCGGAACTCAATGAACTCGTACTATGACCATAAAAAAACCAAAAATTCAAAATCAAAAAGAAGCGCTATCGATCGAACATTGAGCAGCCTCTCTGCCCGCTTCTCTGCTCATTTCGTATGCAATTTAGTTAGTATGTTAATTTTATTTATTTTTTATTAATATTATTTTTTCTACTTCTGCGCGGTTTCTATGGTTTCCAGTTTCCATTGTGTTTTATTTAATTTTAATTTTTATTTCGTAAATTTTAAATTTGTTGTCACTTCTGTAGGAGCGCAAAAGGTTTTTCCATTGTTCTGAATCGAAACAATAAAAAAAATACAACAACAACAAAATTACCAAATTCGAAATCGATTTCATTTGTTTTTTATTATAATTGGGTGCGGTGCGGTAGTATTTTGCTGTCTCTCTATATAAGCATATATCTACTTTTTTTCATTTTTTGATTTCTTCAGAATAACATCTGAATCGCTGTCATTGTAGCGGCCATTCAATAAAAATATAAAAAAGATACTTTTCTGAATATTTACATGCGTGTGTGTGTGGCAGCTCTTTTAGTCAGACGGATAGAAAATTAATAAAATTTATGGTTTATTTGGAATTTTCGTGGCTTATTAATTTGCCATAAAGCTGGTGGGCAAAGTGTGTGGCAAAGTTAAGTGGCAATCGGTGGCACATACACGGCGAGAAAGCGAAACATTTGACACACATACAGACACATGCAAGCACACGCACACTCACATAGTTATTTAGAGGCCTATTTTAAGGTGAATCACAGTTTGTTTCGCTGCGAACAGAGCTGAGTTACTTTGGTTTGTTTGCGTTTGTTTAGGTTTCTTTTCGGGACAGGTAACATTTGAAGAATGTTGCCGACTGGCGTTATACTAAATGATCTAAGAATATTTATGTTGTTAACTTGAAACCAGTTTTCAGTGGATCAAATAAGTTAGCTATATTAGCTAATAATAATTGATATGTTATCATTCTTAATGCACTTCCATTAATTTGTCTGCATACAATTATTACTCATACTTAACATTAATCAAACTTGATTTAAGAAAAAGTTTAGTAATCAAACGAACTTTTTTTCAAACTAGTTTGTTCTAAAATGTATGTTAATTCTAAAGTTGTGAACATATGCACATAGTGCTCTTAAGCTAAGCCACAATATGCTTAAATTAAGCAAATATGCACTTAAAATATAAAACTGAGTACCACAAATATTTTGTACTTCAATTAAGATAGCTTGAATTTGGATTGTATGCTCTCCGGAAAATGTTCTATTCAAGCATTTGTGAAAATTATTTATGATCTTAAAAATTTACTGTGTTGAGTCAAAGAGTCTCACTTAAAACAATCCCAAGGCAAAGAAAGGATGAAATTGTCTATAATTAAGTATGATGTATATGCATATAAAATATTATTTGTGGATAAATTTAAATTTTGGCATTGTTAATTCACATGTTGAACATTTTCGATAAGTAAAATACATGTTTAATATTTTGTTTTGATGCAGCTTTTGGCAAGTGCTTATAAAGTATATTTATTTATATGTTGATTCGATTTAATTGTTTATAAATGCTCTTAAAATTTCAGCAGATGTCACTATATGTAGTTGTGCATGCTGAATAAGGCATTGCCGCATGTCTGTCTGTAAAAAATCAATTTGCGGATCTGCTGATTGGATATATGCAAATGTTGGGCACAAAATACGGAATAAAGCCATCAAAAACGAATTGAAACAGTTGTTATTATTTACAAAAATAAAGAAGTTGCCTTTTTTTTATGGAAAGAAACTGCGCTCAGCCCCACAAGGAGAAACAATTTGAGCATTTTTTTTGTTAAACTTTATTGATGCTTCATGTCAATTCGCCAGCTCCGCAAAGCGAAAACTTAATTAAAAAATCCAACAGCAGGCACCAAAAACAAAACAATAACAAGAGGCAATCCTTTTTGGGGCCACTTAATTAAAATAACAAAAGGCGCAGAGTTGTGTAAAATTAACGAAATTTTGATCATTTTGCTTTTATTTTATGTTTTTGTGAATCTTTGTGAATGAAGCGTTTGTTTCATTCAGCAGAAGATGAGACGAAGAAAATGAAAGGCAATCAGTTAGAGCAGGCCGAACGCAAGAGATAAACAGACAATAAATATGAGGTCGGCCCTTTTGCGGCGCATTACAAAATGTATTTCGGTATTTTTCTCGTTTATTTTTGTATTTTTTTCTTCTTCGTATATTTCTACATGTTATTTGTTGTTTGCTGTGCACAAAGAGGCCACACAGCGACAACAAATGCCGCAGCGGCTAAAGAAAAAGGCATTTCAGAGTTTCCCATGGCGGCACACACGCACACACGCACACACATGAACACAAGCATTCACACACGCATACACAAAATGGAGCCGCGACAGTTAACAAAGTTGGCAGCGCAGTCAATGCGGCGTATGCGTAATACGGCTGCCTGGCGCGCTGCCACTGGTTTTCAGCACTCACACACACACACACACAGACAGAAAGAGTCGCACACACACACAAGCACGCACACTGACGCAAGCGAGTGAGAGACACACGAGAAACGGGTTAAGGGCAGGCAACTGACAGTTGAGCGCCAGCAGCGACGCAAACGTTGCTGCCATTGGCCGCCCAAAAGCGCCACAAGGCAACGCCCACTTAACAACTGAGTATATGTTTGCGTGTACCTATGTATGTGTGTGTGTGTGTGTGTGTAAAAGAAAGTTGGCTGCGTTGCACAGCAGCTAGTCGAGAGCCAGAGAGGGATAGCAATACATAAGCTTGTGTGCCAGACAGAGAGCTTTTGCGGGCAGCTACTGCTCTTTGGCATATAATTTGTGTGTGTTGCGCACGCTCTTAATTAAAATGTAAACCTTTTTGGCGGGCGTAGGCGCATTTAGGCTTAATTAACAGGCCAGCGCACGCACGCACGTAACGCCCCAGCGCAGCAGCGCTCAAGAAACAGAAAAAAGTAAAGAGGAACTTGACTCACCTGCTTCGCTCTCGCACACACATAAACACACTCGCCGCACTCATCCAATCAGCGCACGTTGCGCTCACTCAAACTCGTTTTGCGCTCAATTGTGCTAGAGCGAGACAGTGCAGAGACAATTGAATGCAAGCAGCGAGCGGCGAACAGCGAACAGCGAACAGCAACAGCAGCAGCAGCAGAAGCTGTTTTATGCTCTTGTTGTTGTTGTTGCGCCGCTCAACTGTTTCAACACAGGCAGCTGTTAAACCCATCAAGCTGAAGTTTCGATCGTAACTTTGCAGTTGACTCTCGCGCACAGAAGCGTTCGGAAGTGAAATATATTTTATTAATAATATTAGCAGTCGAGCTGTGCCAGCATTTTTGTGCTTATAAACTTTGACTCGTGCAAGCGCCGTCGCCGTCTGTTAGCAGCACCAGCAGCACGCAAAAATTAACAAAAGTGAACGAATTTATGAAAAGGCCAAAACCAAACTAACTGTAATTAATTTTCGTTACTGCGGATGCAAATATACATTTGCGATTTGCGGCACACAAGAAAAAAGGTAAGCAGACGCCATTTTGTTAGACGTTGCCATTTTGTGGCTACTGTTGAAAGCTGCCGCAGTTACGCAGCAGCAGCAACAACAACAACAACAGCTTGCATAGAGTTTGGGGCTGAGTGAAGGAGAGAGAGAAAGAGAGAGAGAGAGAGAGAGTGAGCGAGCAAGTGCGCAGCTTGGGTGCTACTCGTCTTGCGCATGCGCAGTAGCCGAAGCTTATAAGAACTTGCTTCGGCTTCTGGTCTTGAGCTTCCACTTCGTGTCACGAATGCGTCTTCGGGTTCGGCTTTAGCGCTCGTGCTTGACCAGTTAGAAAGAAGAGCTAGGCAGAGCAGAGCTGCTGCTGCCGCTGCTGCTGCTGCTGCTGCTGCTGTTGCTGTGGCACTACAGTAGTCCGATGACTCACACACACACATTTACATACACACACACACACACACACAGACACACACTTCCACTACTGTATTGAGCCGCACTCAAGGCACACATACACACACCGAAACGCCTCGGTCTTTTGGTCTTGACTGCGTCGTCGCCGCTTCCTCAAGTTGGCAGCAGCGACGCGAGCAGCAGCAGCAGCTCTCGGCAGCAGCAGAGTTGACTACTATTTCTTTCAGTTATTAGTAGCATTCATTCATTCAACTTTGTGCCGCGCAAGCGTGCGTAGTTCCTCAGTTCCTTCGCGTGTACCTACCCAAGCAAAATAGAAAGAAGAATAAAAAAATAGAGTATAAAAATAAAATAATTATCATAATAATAATTACGCTACACACATACCAAGATATTGCGCTACGTGACTTTAATTCATTCGTCGCCAGTCGTTGTTGTCGTCGCGTTAATTCCAGTGATTAGCAACAGAAGCAACAGAAGCAGCAGCAGCAGCTACCAACATTTTGTCGCACTTTTCCCATTGGGTAAGTTTTGCCTATGCGACTGCGCAGTTACGCAAACGTCGCCATTGCTGTGGGACCTGACTGCGCAGTCAGCGTCGGTCGGCTGCAGCTAGGCGGCGGCGTCGCACAGTAGCCAGTAGGCAGCGCTTGGCGCTTATGTTCTTGTTCTTTTTCCGTTCTCTTCTTTGTGTTTGTTTGGCTACCAGTTTTACGCGCTTTCATTGGCCCAAGCCAAATGTGCGTGAGCGCCTCTCGTTGCGTGTGTGTGTGTGTGTGTGTGTGTGTGTGTGAGTGTGTGCGCGTATGCAAGAGCGTGAGAGTTTAAAGAAATGATTTGTCAATGGCGTTCGTTGAGCTTTTTTTTGCCTGCTTGTAAAAGTGTCGCAAAATGGCGACCATAACGGAATATCTATCTAGCCTATTGGACACGCTGCCTTGAGGCCGACACATCGAATAGGCAACAGAGTTGCCAGATCTGCGCTCTAATTACAGCCAAGGCATATTTTTACTTGAACTTAAGCTTAATATCCAACATTCCGTAGTAAGAAAAGCGAGCTAAAATTTATATTTATTTCAGCTTGATTTAAATATGGAAATTAATTAAAAAGTATATACTTAATTTAATTTTGGCACTTGTAAAAGTTATCATCATATTCATCTTTTGCCGACGGCATTTTTTCAACATGAGCTTACGGGCTTAGCTCTTTCAGTTGTAAGCCCATGAGTAAGCACTACTTGGCCAACTTCTTGTGAACGATCAAGGCCTGTGCGAGGTTAATAAAACTTGCCAAACGCACAAAACGTATCGCATAGACAATAACACTCACAACCGCAAATCAGCTGCCACAGATCGTCAAAATGAATGCGGCTTAGACTAAGCTCTGACTCACGCCTGTGACTTTAATTTATAAAGTTTAGCTGAATGAGTCGCCAAATTTAACAAGCAGCTAAAAATATATATTTACACTTTTACCATTGTTCCGAGCATGGCGAGATTTTAAATACTGTGCAAGAATTGCCCTCGGCAGGACACTCTGGCCTCGTCCTTGTCCTATTTGTGCACCTAAGACCACACGCTGCGTGCCATCAATTAGGCACATATTAGTTAAGCGAACAGTCTAGCAGACATTTGGCACCTTTTGGTTGCATACATGTAGGATTCCTGCAGGATCCCGTTCCCGAACTGTCTGTCATAACCGATCACGCAACATTTGATCGCATCGAGTTAACATTTGCCGCGGCGAACAAAGTGCGTGTTTTCCCACAAGCTGTAAAAAGATGGGCATTTGAGCGAGGACCTTTTGTGGTTAGGTGTTTGGCTCCTTGGCTCGACTGTGTCCAGTTTGGCGCGCCCGGCTCCTTGGCCGCATTGTTCCCATTCTTTGACTACTTGAAGCGCTGTGGCACAGTGCCTAATTGTTGTTGGGCATTTCTTGAGAATTCTGCGCCATTAGCACAATTAGATTCGTATCAAATCGTTTCGGTGCCTTTGTCCTTTTCATTTTATATGGCCGTGGACCGACTGGGTCGGCTTATTGTCATTTTTTCCACATTTCGGCTGTAATTTTTAATGACACCTTGCCAACTCACTGTCCGCCTCCAAAAGAAAAAGGCCATTGGCAAGTGTGGTAATCGCTTTTGACCATGTCTTCTCCGCAATGGGCCCTTAACAACGCGACGTGTGTGTCACTCTTCTGTCCGACTGTCCGTCCGTCTTCCCTTTTTGTTTTGTTCTGGTTTTTTAGGTCCTTGCTGCCTTATCGCTGTGTACCGCTACACATTATCGCTGGGCCGGGGTGTTAAAATGTAACTTTTCGGTTTTTGGCTTCGTGGAAGGCGCTGGCGCACTAACACTTGCACACACACACACAGACACACTTGCCACCCGACTTAGATACAGATTCAGATACGATGCGTATCTGTCTCTCTTCAGCGTGTGTGTGTGTGTTGCCATTTTTGGTGCAAATCTAATTTCACGCAGCATTAACGCCTTTCGCATGCCCTTCACAAGCTGCTGCATCTTCACTTCACTTCACTTCACCGTCTAAAGTCTGAGTTTCACGCTGTGTCTTGATCTTTCACTATGGACATATATATGTATCAGCCTTTATATGCAGCATCTTTCTCGCTGCGGTTCTCAGTCCCTTGGAGCAGACCTCTCGTTGCGCTGTGTGTACAAAACACTAATTATTTTCACTGCGGATTAATGGGATTAGCTGCATGTTGTACAACAGTTTATTATACAATATTTGGCCAGCTCTCGTAAGTACATACGTGTGGTCTGCCAGCCAACTCTGTGGGTGTTGCTGTTGACTTGGGCTAACGCTAAGCGGATTTTGGCCAAATGTCAGCAACAGTTGGCAAACGGATTATGAATAACGTTTGCAAAAGTCAAATGGAAAATGTTTATCATATATGACAATGACATGAAATTCGTAAATTGCTGAGTATAGATCCTTTTCTACCATATCAGAGAAGTATTTATAATATTTTCTATCATTAGCGAACACGCCTTAAATCAAGCTTTTATTATCTAATATATATTATCATATCAAAGAAAGTTCTCTATATAATTAAAATTTGAACTAGAAAATTGAGCAGTTGACAAAGTTGAACTCAAGTTCAAACGTTTGCTTAAGTAGATGCCATCGAGCTATTAGACCTCACTTAATGCATAAAGCACTTTTTGTGTAAAACGCATTCAACTCTCCGCTGGCAGGCTAAATAAAGTGCTTAGACGCAGTCGTAAGCCATGGCAAATGCTGCTCCACTTAGGCCCAAGCCAAATGACGGAAAAGCATGGCCAAAAGCAAAGCCAAAGCATAGCCAAAGGCCATGCCTTGGCCTGGAGATGCTGATGCTGATGCTGATGCATCTCCGAAACCATATCGAATCCATGGCCTTATGCAGGCGCCCTGTGTCGCATGATTAACGGCGTTAAAATGCCAATGTGACGCCACATTGTGTACACAAATTAACATCGAGCTGGAGAGCTGGAGTTGGACTAAGACTACGACTTTGGCTCCGTCTCCAGCTCCGTCTACAGTTGGCGATCGGCGACCTGGACGCAAAGTCAGTGTTATAATTTGAATATGTTTAGTGGGCATTAATGTTATAATGACAATAACTACGTAGCGTCTGCGGCTGGTGCAGCACCCGCTGTGACGTTTGCCTTTTGTTGTCAACGTTTGCCCCCAGTCAAAAACCGAGACCCAGTCCAACTCCAGCTGCGAGCGTTCATACCAAAAAAAAAAATCAACCAAAAACATATAAATAAATATCGAAATCGGGGCTTGCCGAGAGACGTTGTCGCTACCAGTCGGCGCAGGCTTTTGTTTGCGCAGAAATCTCCGAATCCGAATCCGTATACGAATGCTCTCCAAGCCCCAAGAATATATGGCATAACATTAAGCGACTGACGCGTATTTATATACATATTCATATGCATATATATGCTAACAAAAAAAAAAAAAAACGCAATCCAGCGGCGCCGAAATGACAAAAATAAAATTACATAAAAAATAACAGTTGTTAACTACCGCACAGGACCCAGCGGCAACGGCAACGGCACCTCGATAACCCAAAAATCATCTGGCATAAATTTAAAAGTCCAGCCTCAACCCAGGCGCCAATTAAAAATAAACTTGTTACAGCGCCACTTTAATGAAGCGACTAAAATATGGCAACTGTATGCGCCCGGGGGCTGTCGTAAATGCATAAACACTCTCCGAGTGAATTTGTGACGCCTTTTTCAGTCTCTTTATAGTTGTCTGGCCTATGGGAACTCGGCTGTTAGTGCAGCTACGATCATTAAACTTGGTATATGATCTGATTATAGCAGTAGATGCGTTATAATACAGAAATCTCAACAATCGCAACACTAAATCACGTGCTACTCGCAACTGAAGTACTTCCTTTTTTAGCCTGAGAAAAGAGTCAGATATTTAAGGTTATATCAGAACTAATTTGTTAATAACTAATATATGATTATTGAAGGTTAACCATGTGGTAAACATGTACTTAACATATTCATGGTAAAGACGAAGATGAATCTTTACAATTCGAATATTATATCGTATGAGTTCTCCAGCTTAGTTCCTAACTTATATCCAAAGCGTTCACCTCTTAAAATTCCTACAAATATGGAGTAAAAGTATATCTAATAGATTTAGATAGCTGATACTTTACAGCTTAACCCAAAAATTGCATCCTTGAGCTTTAAAGCTCTGGGGCATGCCAGTTTTTTTGCCAGCCTCGCGTTAATGGAACAATTGTGTTGCGGAAGTACAGTTGACAACAAAATACGGCAGCTGGTGACGGTTGAAATCTGGCAACAATGAGCCAGGTTTGGAATTACCGCTACAGCAAAAAAAAAAAAGAAAAAAAAAAGTCGCAGAAAAAACACAGTTAAAAGATGTCGTTTAAGACAAATTATAAGCGAAGGTTAGCAACTGAAACTGGGCGGCTGGTGATTTGTAAATGTCAACACCAAGTTCGTGTTGCGTATGGGCCAGCAGTTCGCTTCGGGCTTTAATGAGTCATTTTCAATTTCATGTTGCGTGATTTAAGTTGACAACTTGTTGTTGTCGAGATGTTGTTGTCGTGGTATTTTCGCTCAAATTTATTGGCACATAAAAGATGTCGCAGGCGTTGCTAACTTTATTTAACTTTGTTTCTTGTCTCTCTTTCTGTATTTTTAGGTGTTTGCCTTAAAGTGCGCCATAAACTAAAAGGCAGCGGCAGCAGCAGCAGCTGGAGAGACGGCCCACCCAAAACGCCTACAACAACAATAACAACCAAAAAAAAAAAAAAAAAATAAAAATACTAGCAAACGGAGAAATCACAACGCCAACAGCCAACAGCCAACGGGCAGCGAGCGTGTGACAGTTGACAAAAAAATAATAATAAAAAGAGTAAAAAAAGAAAAGGCCCGCAACGTTGCCACATTTCAGCAGCAGCAGCCATAGAGAAAAAAGCGGCGTGTGTATTTGTTATCTGCCAGCCAGCAATAGCAATAGAGATAGCGATTACGCTTTGAGTACCGTTAACAACGTCAGGCATTGCGCTCATTGCACAGAGCAAAGCTCAACAACAGCAACCCCACTCGGCAACTGAGTGCAACAGATCGAGCACACCACATTGACAGCCACACACTGAGAGAGAGAGAGAGAGAGAGAGAGAGCGTGTGTGTGTCTGAGCGAAGAGAGTGTGTGTCGTCGGGAGCAGCAGCAGCAGCAGCGAAACCGACGCCAACTCAACGAAAAACTTCACCCACTGATTGTGCGAGTACTGAGCGCGCGCGCGTCTGTCGCACGTAGGCAAAACAAAAAAAAAAAAAACAACAACAACAACAACAAATAAAAGAAGTCAAGTAAAAAAAAAGAGGGAAAATATTATCGTCTGTCAAAATGTTTGCTGTAATGCGAATCGACAACGATGACTGCCGGTCGGATTTCCGTCGCAAGATGCGTCCGAAGTGTGAGTTCATTTGCAAGTATTGCCAGCGGCGTTTCACCAAGCCATACAATCTGATGATACACGAGCGCACGCACAAATCCCCAGAGATAACATATTCCTGTGAGGTCTGCGGCAAATATTTCAAGCAACGTGATAATCTGCGTCAGCACAGGTGAGTTCCGCAACAACAAGCACATCGATCCTATTAAATTTGCCACAAATTGTCAAGATCTACATTTTGTATAACTTTTTTTTATTTTTTTTTTGTTTTTTATAAAATGTGCATGAAAAGCTATAAAATATATTTTTGGTGTTGGTTTTGGTGAGATATATGCAACATTTTGTCAATATATCTGTGTAAATTCAAAGATTGTTTTGTATAAATTATGACTTGTTAGTAAATCGTTTAAGCCGAAAGCAATTTGATAAGTCTTCCAGTCTTTCGAATTTGTAGTCATTGCACGAAATTAAAATTAGAACGCAATTATTTATTATGGAATTTGATAAGGCACAATTCGAGTGTTGATTTATTTAGCGTAAGTTAATTTATTTGTGAGAAATAAAAGAGAAGCCGCAGATTAATTGAATGTAGTTGCTGGATAGAAGCTTCTGTGAAAATGTTTGAACAAGCCGCAAGGAAATTATCGTTTGAATAGAATGGAAATAATAAAAAAAATTTAAAGGTGGTGCATCAAAGAATCAGGATATAGGAATTGGAAAACTCTATATACTTCCCGATTAAGAAATCAAGCAAGAGTTAACTGTAAACTTATATATAAAAAGTTGTACACATGTAAGTCTCAAGAACTACTTAGAAGAAAGACAAATTCCCTACAGCTAGCTTCAGATCTGAAATATCTAAGTATTATCAAAGCTCTGAAATAAACGATTAGTTTCTGCACATATCTGTCTCACACTCACACTCACACACACACACATTATATAAGCACAAGCACCAATACATTTAAGCACATCAATTGTCATATGGAGAAGAATATGTAATGCTTGATTTTTTACATATGTTTACTATTGAAGACTTTTTATCACAACACGGTTCTACTACATCACTTTTTTGTTTCTCTATTTTCTCTTCTATTTGTAGATGTAGTCAGTGTGTTTGGCGATAAGCTAAATTATCATAAATACAATATATACGCAAAAAAAATAAAAATAAAAAAACAAAATAGCAACACACAGCAATATAAAATATAAAAAAAAAAAAAAAAAAAAACAAGAAAAAAAGAACACCATCAGATATCTAAGCACCGCAGCACCAACAGCAAAAACAACAACCGCACGCAATATCACAAATATTTTATATTAAAGCAATGGAAAATGGGCAAATGTCATATAGATAGAGTTATCGATATTTGTTGGTTATCGGTAATCGATCGCAGCAGCGAGTACAGCACAGCACAGCACAGCATTATACCACCAGCACCAGCACCACCACGCCCACCGCCCACCCTCATGCACCACACACACACAAGCTTCTTCCTTTTGATGCAATCGTCAGCGACAGCAGCATCAGCAGCAGCAGCTGCTGCAACAACAGCTGCAACAAGTGCAACTGCAACGATAAACATCGGAATGCAATCGGGTGTTGGTATTCGATAATTCGCTTATGTTTATTACACGGTTTGGTTGTTCTTTTTGTTTTTTTTTTTCTCTCTCAAAATATTAATTAATGGTTTTTCGAAAACGTGCACTTGCCACGCCCACCACATGTTGCGCAGGCGCAGCAGCAGCATCAGCAACAACAACAACAACAACAACAACAATCAGAATTCAAAATAATCTTTGCAGAAATTTACACATGAACACCTGTGGGCGTGCCTACAACAAATAAGCCAGCAACCAGCAGCATGGCACATGCAACATGCAGCATGCAACATGCCACATGCCTCAGCAACATTGAAAAGTTAGCTTTGTTTATGTAAAGCACAATTAAGCTCAAGCTTCTTGTGCTTTCCTCGGCCAACAACAAAGCAACAACTTTTGCAACATTACGAGCTTGGCAACACCATTCAATCAATCAATCAATCAATCAATCAATCATCAATCAATCAATATTCAATAGACAGCTGCAATTCTCTTGCCTTATAACTCGGAACTTGTGCGATTCTCTCGCTATCTTATTAATAATACAATTAATTACAATTTAATAATAAAACAAAAATAAATCTTAAGTATTTTTATATTAAAATCACAACAACAACAACAAAAACAAAAACAAAAAGCAAACACGTTGAAAATGTATTACCTAAAATTTATAATAATAAAAACAAAAACTATTAAACTATATAAATAACTATATATGCATTGTTTTGTTTAAGTTTACCAATTAAAAATGTGAACGCAAAAAACCTTTTTGGAAAAAATTGAAAAACAAAAGAAAACAAAAAAAATAATTTTCACCTAAAAGCCTTAAAATAATAATAATAAAAAGTTTTCCTTTAGAGCGCTGCAATAAGATTGTAAATGTTTTGCTATTTATAAAAAAAAAGAAGAAAAACGAGAAAATATGAGAATGGAAAATGATATATCATACGCAATATGTATTACGTGCAGCTTGCCATGCCCACAAACGGTTTGAGGGGGCGGGCTAGTGGGCATCGCCTGCATGCACATCTGAATAGAGATGAATAATAATAATAATAATAATAATAATAATAATAATAATAATAATAATAATAATAATAATAATAAAAATAATAATATTTTATTTTAATGTTTTTAATATGTATGATGACTTTTTTGTTTTTATTTTGGCATTTTTGTGGTAAAGACAAAACAATAAGTAAATAAATAAACATATTTATACAATGTAATCCCTTCAAGTGTCTTCTTCTTCTTCTTATTATTATTATTTTTGTTTGCATAGCAATATCTGGCCATGCGATAAACATTTTGCGCAACATCAAAGAGAAATATTGTTGAGGCAACATTCTTATATTGATATACTTAATTCTATCCGAACCCATTGAAATTGGGTTGTTGCTATGTAAGTATTTAAAAAGATGCAATAAATAAGATGTATACTATTTAAAAATGTATGTCAGCAGAGATATATCAGTTATAATCGTTGCCTGATATATGAGCTGAAGTTCGCATTAGCAGACGTGGATCAACTCGGTATTTGATTTGTTTCTAAGAATTCAATTGATTCAATTGATTTAGTTAGCTGGCTAGAGGTCCTGCGTTGGAAAGCAACGAAAAAGTGGCCATTGGGAGAAGTATATACTTTAAACTTGCTTTGATCTATTTTTGTTCATTTTCAAACAACTTTTTAACACTTTTACTGGGAAGTGTTGGTAAACAGTTGTAAGCAGTTTGTACTTTAATCTTGACTCAATGCATGCCTACTTGACTTTCCTAAGGTTAGGCTATTGTAGACACAGCCTTGCGTATACCCACATGATATTTGTGTGCCAGCTGTTGGGTAAAACAGCTATTTAGCTAAACGATTTGTTAAACGACCGAACGTGCCGTAGGATTATATTTAATTAATATTTCCTAAACGATTGACTGATTACTTAATGCATTCATCGATGTACATGACGTGCTTGAGCTTCTGTGAACTAACTGCAATGCACAAGTCCATCTAAGGTCATCGTTAGCAAAGCTTTAGTTGTATTTTTATATAATTAACGCTTAGATCGAACATATATACGATATTTAAATAAAAACGATCAGCGAGCAGCGTGGGTGGGAGCTGAGGCCTGCTCGCCAGCAAATGCAAATTGCCTTTGCCACAAGCTGCAAGTGCAAATTAAACTATTTAATAATTTTATTCTTATAATATTGATTAAGACGATGTGACGTGAGGTGTAAAGCAATGTCCGAATAAATAGCTTTGTCTATATATATTGCATATTTGATGAAATTTTACAAGGCATCTCCAACTTCATAAAATATATATAGTCTGGTTGGTCTGTCAGTTTCTGAGCTTAGTTAATATACTTATATATATAATATATAAACTATATATAAAGAATTTATCAACATGTGCTGTTTGTTGTTAACAACAAAATTCTACTTAAAAAACTTTGTTGGCTCGTTTAAAAAATCTGTAAATAGTAAAAACTTGCATGGGCTTAAACTGAAAGAAAAATATTTTTTTCTTTCTTTCTTTCTACTGTATCATAACGAACGCACTAAAACAATTGTCACAAAAATTTAATTAATATTATATATTATATTTTCTCAAAACAAAATGTCATTTCATTTTCTTTAATATAAATTTTTGTTCTGCAACATAAAATGTTGCCAGATGTCGAAAGCATTTAACCGGGACACTGTTCGCATGCAAACAGCTGTGAGCGTGTGTGTGTGTGTGTGTGTGTGTGTGTGTTATATCTTGTGGAGTGCCGTATTTGCTATCATTATCATAGTTAACTTGCAAGCATTTGCCCCTAGACACACATCATTAAATGCACCATTAAGGGCCCGTGCACACACCCCCATCCCCATCCGGCTGGCCCCATCAAATGCAGCGCCCCCCTTGCCGCTCGTGTGAAATGGAAAATGGTTACCTTTGTCGGCGTCAATTGACCCTCGCGCGTGCAGCGACCCTTTAACAAATTAGTAAGAACGAAGAAGAAATTTCACATTGCAAGCGGGCGGCGGGCCATAAATCATGAGTGTGCCACACGCTGCGCTTCGTGTTAATTAAATATTGACTATGTTTTGATAAGCCGTAACATTGCCGCATCCAATTTTCCAATGAGCCGACCAAATTTAAATGTTGCACACTTCCCAGTTGCACTGTTGCCCGTTTGCCAGAGAGCACGGCAGGATGCGCCACTTGCGCTCAAGTCAATGCCAACTGGCAGCCGATAATGAAAGCGTTTCCAAATGCGAAACGAATGCCAGCTTGGCTACTGTGGCGAGTGTGTGTCCATGGTGTGTCCAGGATGCAGCCGCATGTGGTCCACTCTGGAGGCACGTGTGGTTTTCCAGCTAACCGCGTTCCGCTAGCCGCTGAGCCGCTGAGCTGCTGAGCCACTGAGCCCCTTGGCCCGTTTCCTCCTGCTGCTGCTTTTGGTATTAAAACTAAACTGTTTCCACCTACCCGCAAAAAGGACGACAACTGGCGCAGTTTGACTTCTGCAGTCACACACACACACATACTCACTCGCACACACGCACAACAACTGGCCAAATCTTTTGCCTGGCTGCACTGGGACGCGCTGCGTGCTGCGTTTTTGGCCACCACCCGCGGCTTTTGTTGGCTTAGACGCAGCTCTCAATCTCTGCAACTCTGACTCGCCCTGCTCTGCCCTGCCCACCCACTCGCCGTGTGATCTGTGCCCATCCTCCGGCCTCCGGCCTCCGACTTATCAATTGCGGCCATCTGAGCTGGAATTGTTGCTGCTGCTGCTGCTGATTCAACACTTCGGTAGCGCAATCTTCATTTCCGCCTTTGGCTCAGCTGCACATTTTGTTAATGGCATTTCCATTGGCCATGTGATTCATGCGCCACTTTGGCCAAGTGCTGCAGCCACATCATAAACGCGTTAAATAGTCGTCACTCCGGCTCAAGAGTTTTGTTATAAGTTATTTCTCCCGCTCAGTCTCCTCCGCTTTGACTCATCCCAGCGACTTTCTAAGCAGCGGCCTTCGCATAAATCTCATCTCTTGGCGGCGCGACGACAAAATTTGGCAACAGTTTAACAGGTTTCAATTGCCCCGCTTAAAGGTGCGTCGCAGTCGCAGAGCTCGATTGCGACTGCGACTCACACCTGAAGCAACCAAGTCTAACTCATTAGATGTCATTTGCTGATAAATACTGCTAAATACCCTAACCCAGTCGAGTCTCTCAACTGTGTGGGACCGTTTGATAAAGCAAAAGACATCTGAGATAAGAGATTTCTTCATTTATCTATAATACTTGGGAGTGTGAATAGTAGATCAAAGCCTCCAAATAAATATGCAGAGTTGTCCAATTGAAAGCAGATTTTAGCTTACATAATTATTAAATTAAATAAGCTAACTAATTAACTAGTAATTATGATAAATATTCTACTAGTTTCTTAAGTAATATATTTTTTGAAACTCAATAAAACACACCGAGCTTCCACTCTAAACAATTTAAGGTAACATCCCTATTGCTGTCTCATTTGTAGAGCATTGAGCATTCGTTGTTGGCTCGACGCTCATTAATTCCATTTAATTTATACGTAATATCTGACAGAGGCAAACTCGGAGGCTGAGACACGTCCGGACTGGCGGCTGGCAGTCATAGCCTGGGCCATGGCCCATAGTGGATGATGAGATAGCATCTGGGCGACGTATTGGAATGCTCCACCTTGTTGTCAACACGTAGCATCGCATAATTTTACTTTTACTGTTAAGAGACGACGCGTTCGTCTGTCTCTCCGTCTGTCTGCCTGTCTGCCTGTCTGCCTGTCGGCCGTCATTGTTGGACTGGGAGCCGCTCCTGTGCCGCTGTGGGCTGCAATTAAAAAAGCTCAACTACCACAAAATGTACAAAGCCAACTCCAAACAGATGCGAGAGACACCAGGCAGTGGGCAACCGGCAACCGGCAACTGGCAACTGGCAACTGGCAACTGGCAACTGGCACCAGCTCCAGAGTCGAGAGCCGAGAGTGCGGCACGTACAACGTGCGGCTATTTGTCTGCTTTGTTGTTACTCGTGTTTGTTGTTGCTGGCATTGTGACTGGCCAAAGATTTGTGGGCCAAAGCCAAAAACAAAATAAAACACCAGGCAACGAACGGTTCGGCTGGGGTTGGGATTGGGTTTGGGGAACGGTGCTGCATGCCCGCTGCCTGTCGCTTTTAATCTAGCAAAGCAATCGTTGAATGCCACTAAACTTTTCACCACAACTTATATCAATTGTCGTCCAATGTACGACGTCAACGCGCCTCTGATATATTGGATCTAAAAGTGATCGTAATCGCAAAGCGGAGCAAGCCCAGGACCCCAGACCAACTGTCGGTGCCAGCTCTGAATCTCTCAGTCTCAGCCACAGCCACAGACTCAGCTCCAGCTCCAATTCTGATTCTTGACTCTGGCGAGTCTGCCTGTGTGTGTTTGGCCAACAGTTAAGGGACCAATTTGTCCTCGACGGCGGCTATCACAAATTTCAACATGATCGCGACTGCATCGCGCTGCACCGTGGAATGCACATGACACTAGGCAGCTACATGGAAATTGAGGAGCATTTTCCAAGGAATTTCAATGGC